AAAAAAAAAAAAAAGACTGTGAAGGTGTGATGGGTTAAGTATATCAAACTCAAGTGGGTCATGTTTTACCCTTTTTGAGGTTGATTTTTTTGATAATTATTAGGAATGGAGGTTAATGTTATTGACCCATTACGCAAGACATTGCCGGTAATTCTGCCTTCATCTTGCAAGCCACTCCCATAAGGTGACAGTGATGGGGGGAAAGCCACGGGAAAGCTGTGGTAGTGAACTGACAAACCATTGAGAATAATGATCTATTTTTTGGCAAAAAATTGGCTAAGGATTGACAAGTGCAACAAATATGTCCTTATTTCCTTGTATTTTAGTATTAAAGTTTTGACTTTCTTAGGATAAACCATGCTGAATGGGATTGTGCTAGGTGTGTGGCCTGAATCAAAAAGCTTCAGCGATGATGGGTATGGGCCGATTCCATCAAAGTGGAAGGGAATTTGTCAAAATGACAAAGATGCTGCATTTCACTGCAACAGGTCTGTTTTTTTCCTAACCCCACCATCAACCCACGCCATGGATACTTTTTCCGAGGCTGATGTTGTAGATTTTGTCGTCTTACCTTGAAACTTAATGTCGACTATGCCATGGTAACCGCCAGTTATTGCCTTTAAATTTGTCCTCATCTATTTATTAATTTGATGAGTGATTGATTGATTGATAAATATAAACCCAGCTAACCCTTTTCTTTTTTCGTTTTTTGGCGAAAACTATACACAGATTTGAGTATATTGTTGATTGCAAGTTCAAACAGATGCTTTGAGTACACTTGTTAATTTGTTTTTGTTTTTAACATCTCAATATTCATTATATAATGATTAACTGTAGTTCTGTTAATGTAATAAGTGTTTTACAATAACACATTTCCTAAGCCTGAATAATCTTAGGCCTTGTTGTCCAAATATCTAAATCACTGTTGTCAACCCACAAGGAATCTGTCTGCGCAGAGGCAACTATTAGTAATGTAGAATATTCAGTTCCAATTTGATGGTGGAGGACCAGTATCAGGAAAAAGCACATTCATTTGGAATTTCATGGTAAAGCTGATGTACCACTTTATCTTAGAGTTAGTGAGTGACAAAGATTCTAGAACACAATTCAGACTACACCTTAGTTCCTGCCAGAAAGAGTATCTGAACTTGAGAAAATGTAGAAAATGTGTTTATTGTAGGTTCAATTGGTTACTCTTCCAGAGACGAAACTAATGGTTTGATACCTTTCTAGGCAGAGATAGAGATGAGTTTAAAGTTTAATTATCTAAGACATAAGATATCTAATTATCTAAGTTCTCTCACAATTTATCACAGTTGATGATGGCTTATCTAAGTTCTCTTGCTCTTTTAACTTGCAATGAAGAGATTTTAATATAGTGAATCTCTTAGTGGCATTAATTAGCGGTAATTTTCGTTTATTGCTTATGTTTGAAATTTTCAAATAATGAGCTAGTTTGCATTAGCCTTCCA